TCCTACGAAGACTAAGTTGAACGGCGGAAGATTGTCCAAGCTAGCATGGAGGTTGCCACAAAGATGGAAGCACCAAGGAACGTTGCCGTGGAAGAGGATCTCGGAGGCGGAGGAGGTACGGTAGATCGACCTTTGATAATCCAAGTGTAGACGGAGAAGTGTTCGTCAATGGAGTCTACAAGCGTCGGCAAGATTCGGTCCAAGTATTCGTCGACGGTATCGTCAAAGTCAAATCCGACGTCAAAGAATTGAGATCGCAAGATATTGACTCTTCCGTTGCGGTCGTATTCAAAACCGTAATTCCACTCGGGTTCGTCCATGCATCCTTGGATTGGATCCGGATGGCTACCGCAAGCAAGAATTCCCCAAGGAAAGCAAGTGGGGCGGCGGGTTGGCTAGGGGAAGGGGAAGGCCGGCGGGAGACCAAGGGGGAGGGGGCGGCTGGATGAGAAAACTGAAATTTGATTTCAGTTTTGTGAAATTAGGAGGGAGGGATTTAGGAGTTTGAAATTCCAATCAATGTAATTAATGCATTAATTGAGAATTTCAATTAGGGAGGGATTATGGGAAGAAAAAAAAACTGAAATTATTTTCAGTTTTGGAGGATTGGAGGGAAGGTTTTAATGCTAATTTGAATTTCAAATATGTTTTAGGAGGAGTAATGGAGCATTAATGGGTTTTCCCATAGAGGGGCCGGCGGCATGGGCTAGAGGGGGAAGAAATTGGGGAGAGGGGGTGGGGGTTTCCAAATAGGATTTATAGAATAGAAAAATCTGAAAATTTAATCCACTCTCATGCAATTTGATTTTGGATTAATTTTCAAAACTTTCCAAAATTAGAATTTCCTAATTTGGCAAGTATTGAAGTTTGAAAATTTCAAATTTCAATGATGGATTGGTGGGGAAAAGAAAGAGGAAAGAAGAGATGGAGGAGAAGGTGGGAGTGGCCGGCGGCAAGGAGGTGGGCCGGCGGGCTTAGGGTGGCCGGCGGCTTGTGCTCCAAAGGGAGTGAATGGCCACGGAAGATTTGGCTCCTCTCTACGGTGGTGAATTGTATGCGGGAGATGTGTGTAGAGAAGAAGATGATCACATGAAACAAATTCGAGAACTCACTAAGAGATCTCTAATGGAACTCACAAAGAGATCCACATTTTGGCACTCACAAAGAGAACACAAAACAAAATTTCATTCAATAATTCAATAACACTCTTCCTTCAACTATTATAGAAGTGCGAAATAATAACATTCCTTTGTCTACTCAGCAGCCATCTTCTGATGTGAATCAATTGGTAACTTGAAACATTGTCACTAGAAGGAGAAAGTCAAAGCAGAAAGCCCTACTCCCCACTTCACCTTCTATAGGTCATGAGCATGAAAAGAGGTGTCCCATTCCAACATCCGGTGTCCCAAAGCCTATTGTCTTCACTGCTCAGAATCCTCAACAGAGGGATAACAGCCTAAATCTCTCCAAGCAAAGATCTGGTGTATCTTATGATCCCATACAAGAAGAAATGCAACAGTTGGGGCCTTTTTCTTCTGCCCCAAGAATGGGGAAAAAAGCAACTGAGGCGTCCTTGAGCGGGGATTTGGTGCCCTCAATTGACCATGATTGAGGTCTTCTCCCTCCCAAGTGGACCTCAAATTGTCAATTGCGGGGTATCTTTTCTTTGCTTTTTTTCTTTGTTTGGCTTTCTTTGTCAAGCATTTATCCCACCATTTGTTTTTGGTGTTGAGGAAGCATTTGGGACTTTTGTTTTTGCCAATTTATACTCTCTTGTACCTCTTTTTGTCTTAATGAAATTTCAAAAAATTTGCCCAAAAAAAAAAAAAAGAAAGAAGAAAGCGCTTCGCATAAATCTATGAAATTCAAGCACTGTGAAGTCAGAAAGAAACGAGCAGAAGAGATTGTACCAGAACAAAGTGGTGCAAGATAGAGGCAATCTCATTGTCCTGGCTGTTCGCGGACCAAGCTCCTGTGGCTCAGAAGCCAATGAGGCAGTCAAGCAGAGCACCTTCATATACTTCTGTCTCACCTGATCTTCTTCCAGCATCATGTGGAACCAGCAGCACCACACAAATAAATGGCAACATAGGTTCTGAAGTATATTACTGCCATGCAAGTATCAGTTTTCTCAAGAATAGCAGTAATGAAACGTAAATAAATATAAACACACAACCTTTTTGTACTAATGCAACATAGTAGACCTTCAGCAGACAAGATGTAAAGAAGAGAGGCATTTAATACAACAATTAGTGTGTTTAACAATGTTCAGCTCTGTCAACAGGACAATCATCAATCATCCAGTTTTCATTAGTCTAAAAATTAAACAAAAATAAAACTGCAGACAGAGCCAAAATTAAGGAAAAAGCTTCCAAACAGTAGGAAATGAATTAGTTGAGGTTTATAAGAAACATAGACAAACAGGCGAGATCAAACACAAGCACTTAGAACAAAAGCCAGCAAAGTCTCATCTTTTTTTTTCCCTCCACAACTACGACTAAAAAGATAACTGAGAGAAAAGGGCAACGTTGACTGGTACTAATCTGCGTGAAAGTACTCTTCCATCATATCATCACTTAGCCATCATTAAGTGAGGTAAGGAAATGTGAGGTTTCTTTACTTGGCCATCATGACCTTCACAAACTCCTCGTAGTTGATTTGGCCATCACCATCAACATCAGCTTCACGGATCATCTCATCAACCTCCTCATCTGTCAACTTCTCGCCAAGGTTGGTCATTACATGACGAAGCTCGGCCGCAGAGATAAATCCATTCTGATCCTTATCAAAAACCCTGAATGCCTCCTTGAGCTCCTCTTCAGAATCTGTATCCTTCATTTTGCGAGCCATGAGGTTGAGGAATTCTGGGAAGTCAATTGTACCGTTTCCATCTGCATCCACTTCATTTATCATGTCCTGCAGCTCTGCTTCTGTTGGATTTTGGCCCAGTGAACGCATCACTGTACCCAACTCCTTGGTGGTGATGCAACCTATCAAATTTCCAGCCAGAAATATTAGATTGTGCAGTTACTAATGCTTTTTCAAGTTTTAAGCTCCTGTAAAATCATACCTGAGATTCTGCGAAAAAGTTAAATATCTAATGCAAGTAGTCCATGAGATCTTCAACATATGGCCAACATTTCTTTAATGCATTACTTATATAATATGCAATTGTATTCCTCTACTGTTAATGAGAAAATTATTACATTGAGGTTGTGCTATACAACTCATTGTACTTCATGTATTGCACTTTCAGTCTCTTTATGGTATCAGAGCGTTTTCAAGCATATCAGCTTCTCTCTTATGTTTTCCATGGTTTATCTCAGCGCCTCCAGAACTACTGATCCTCTACAAACCGAAGTTAACCACCATGGCCGAAACATTCATACCTCCTTCTTTTAAGTTCCTCATGTCCAACATCAAATTCATTGTTCACATATAGCTCACTAGCGACAACTATCCGATCTGGTGCCTTCATATCTTGAAAACTAATCTCATTAGCAAACAACTTCTCTGGTTATCTCACCGGTGACACCTGCTGTCCGCCCAAGCTCCTCACATCTACAGTTAGTGAATTTCTACCAAATCCTGCATACACAACTTGGCAATTCCTAGACAAAAACCTGTCCGCTGCTCTATATTTTACTATCTCCAAAACTATTCTTCTCTACATCCTCAATCTCCATTCCTGCCACGAAATCTGGGTCACCATAGAGAAGCGCCTTCAACCAACGAGTGATCCAACTCAAAAATGAGCTTCACAATATCTCCATGAGAGACCTCTCTATGACCCAATATCTATATATATCAAATCGTTAGTGGACAGCATCACTGCAGCCGGCTCCCACCTCGACCCCAAGGATGTCATCCTATACATCCTCAACAGCCGTCCCTCCTCATATCAATCATTCAAAACTACTATAAGGACCAAGCTAACTCCAATCAGCTTGGACGATCTCTACCCCCATCTATGCAACGAGAAAATCAACATCTCTATAGAAAATCTCAAGCTCTCCCAGCTCCATTTGCTGCATTCACGGCCACCAAGGGCCGAGCAACTAGATAAAATAGGGGTTGCTCCAATACAACCTTCCTGCAGTCCACCTACCGCTCCCCCTCTCAGACCACAAGAGGCTCTCACACTACCTCCCCAACTCCACGGATAACCTGCTAAATCTATAACAAACCAGGGCACTGTGCTTCCATTTCCTGGCATCGCTATAACTTACAATACAAACCAAATTCCACCAGTCAGTTCACCGATCTCTACATGCAGCAACCTAACTCCTCAGACTGGTTCCTCTATTCTGAGGCATCCACTCATCTCACCTTAGATCTACCCAACATTCAGCAACCCATACCCTACAATGTTCCTGACTCCATTACCATTGGAAACTGCACAAATCTCCCCATAACAAGCAGCGGACAAGGGATCCTAAATACACCAATCCCACATTATAAGCTCCTCCTACACCTTCATGCTCCTTCCATCTCTTACAACCTTCTATTAATTCATAAACTAACTTCCGATAACAACTATTTTACTCTCTTTGATGCCAATGGCTTAATTACTAAAGACATCCCGACCAGTCAGGTTCTTTTTAGTGGCCGCAACAATAATGGCCTCTACCCCATCGCCTCATTCGCTCTCAAATCTGTCCGGCCAGCGCTTACCTCTCAAATAGCTTGCTACCACTCTGGTATGCCCGATTAAGCCATCCTCAACACTCTACCTTTTGCAAGTTAAATAAATTAGTCAAGTTTAGTAGTTTGTCATCTATGTCAAATGTTTGCACTACTTGTAATGTAGCCAAGAGTCATGGTTACCATTTGCTTCCAAAGTGTCTTGTACCTCAAAAATATTATCTCTTGTCCACACAGATGTTTGGGGGCCCTCACCTGTCCCCCCTTTCAATTGTTATCTATATTATGTTGTTTTAATTGACGATTATTCCAAATTTTGCGGGTTGTATCCTATGCATAATAAATCTGAAATTGGCACTCATCTCATAAACTTCATAACCAACAACAACAACATCAAGTCTTTATCCCACTACGTGGGGTCGGCTACATGAATCCTTTTTCTCCATTGTGTCCTATTAAAAGTCAAATTCTCGTTTAAATCTAATAAAGAAAGGTCATTCATAATATTTTCTAACCAAGTCTTTTTAGGTCTACCCCTACCTTTCTTAACATAAGTCAAATCTAATACCTCTACTCTCCTAACCGGGTCATCGCAAGGCCGCCGTTTTATGTGACCAAACCATCTAAGGCGACTTTCTCTAATTTTATCTTCTACTGGAGCTACCAACCTTTTCACGTATATGCTCATTTCGTATCCTATCTCTAAGGGTAAAGCCACTCATCCACCTGAGCATCCTCATCTCTGCCACACTTAACTTAGTATTATGCTTCTCTTTTAAAGGCCAACATTCGGCACCATAAAGCATTGCAGGCCTCACTACCATCTTATAGAATTTTCCCTTAAGTTTGAGGGGTACATTTCTATCACATAACAAGCCCGATGCATTCCTCCACTTCAACCATCCAACTTGAATTCTGCTGATAATATCCCCATCTATTTCACCATCACTCTGAACAATAGATCCAAGATATCTAAAACGTGTACTCTTATTAATGACTTGATCGCCCAAAGTCACAATCCCCTCACTAGGTCTATTACTACTAAACTTACACTCCATATATTCCGTTTTAGATCTACTCAAGCGAAAACCTTTAGACTCTAAGGTTGACCTCCATAATTCAAGTTTACCTTCAACTCCCTCTCTAGTCTTATCATAAACTTCATAACCATGGCTGAAAAATAATTCAACAAAAACATTCAAACCATTCACTCAGATGGTGGTGGAGAGTATATTTCTCACTCCTTAACTACCTTCCTCACTCAAAAAGACATCAAACATCAGTTCAGTTGCCCTTATAAACCTGAACAAAATGGAGCGTCAGAACGAAAACGTAGACATCAACATGAGACCACTCGCACTTTACTTCATGTAGCACATTTACCTATCTCTTTCTGGTTTTAGGCTTTGCACGCATCTCTCAACCTCGTCAACTGACTTCCCTCCACCAACACCAAGAATAAATCTCCCTATCAACTGCTACATCATAAACCTCCCTCCTACCGTCATCTCAAAATATTTGGTTGCCTATGCTTTCTCTAGTTACGCCCTCTATCTCCACACAAGCTCGCTCCACGCTCCACACCCTCTATGTTCCTTGGTTACTCCAGTACTCATAAATGATATAGTTGTTATAATCTTCAAACACGCAAAATCCATATCTCCCTTCATGTCACATTCGAGGAGACAATATTTCCTTTCACATCCTCACCTACAGTTCCAAACCAGCCACTCTCCACTTCTTCTCTACTACTTAAACCACATTCCCATATTTCCTCCTCCAATACAATCACTCCCATACAACCAATCCACAATCCATTCCCATTGCCTATGCTCCAACCAAATTTCCCCTCTCCAACAATAGTTGACACAAGCAGCTCCCCTACCCATGCTCCACCACACTATCATTCCCCACCATCTTCCTCTTCTGCTCCTTTACCATAAAACATTTCACTACCAAACAAACATCACATGATAACCTGATCAAAGACAAGGAACCTCAAACCAAAATCCATATTCAACCTAACATTTCAGCTTCATGTCCCACCAAACCCCACTTGCTATACTCAAGCTTCCAAACACCTTGGTTGGTGGAAAGCTATGTCCCCTGAATTTCTTGCACTTCAACATCAAGGCACTTGATCTCTTGTCCCTTCTCCATCCAATCAACCAATTCCAAGTTGCCGATGGACATACAAAACCAAACTAAAATCTAATGGTTATGTTGATCTTCTTAAATCTCACCTCTTAGCCTAACGCTTCAAACAACAATATGGAATTAACTATCTCGAAACATTTAGCACCGTTGCTAAGATGCCTAAAATTCGAGTTTTAGTCATTGCACTACACAAACATTGGTTGGTTCACCAACTTGATGTCTCCAACACATTCCTCCACTGAGACCTCAATGAAACAATGTACAAGACTCAATCTAAAGGTTTCATTGACCCCCTTAAACCTAATCATGTATGTAAACTTCACAAAGCTCTACATGGCCTAAAGCAAGCACCACGCCAATGGTTTTCCACCTTCTTAGAATTCTTCTATCACGTAGATTCCACTTCAGCAACTCAGATCCATCTCTACTCATCTACTCCAAAACATTGATCTACATATTTCTTCTCCTTTATGTAGATGACATGCTTGTCACTAGCAATCATCCAACAACTCTCTCCACTCTCATTCAAGATCTTCAACAACGGTTCACCCTTAAAGATCTTGGACTTATATCACTCTTCCTTGGCATCTAAGTAACCTCCACATCAAACACCTACATTCTTCACCAAACTCAATATGGCCAAGAACTGCTTCGCAAATTCGGTTTAGCCGAATGCAAATCTGCCCCCACACCTATCTCCCTCAAACTTTCACTAAAAGCCGACAACAACTTGTTATACGAAAATCCAACCTTCTACCGTCAAATCGCAGGCTCACTCCAATACCTCACAATAACTCGTTCAGATATTACCTTTGCAACCAATCTATTGTACCAATATATGCACAACCCTCTCCATAAACACTACCAACAAATGAAACACTTACTTCGATACATCAAAGGCACAATTCATCTTGGTCTACCCATAACTCATGGATAACTTATCCTCCACTCTTATTCTAATTCAGATTATGCCTCCAATCCTTTCGATCAGAAATCTACAAGAGGTTTTGTTCTTTCATGCGTAATACTCTCATTTCATAGTGTTAAGAAGCAACTGACAGTTGCAAAGTCCTCCACCGAAGCAGAATACTGTGCCCTTGCATTTGCAGCATCCGACATTGTCTAGCTTCATCATCTTCTTATAGATTTCAAAATCACATCACTAACTCCCACACCACTCCATTGTGACAACATTTCTGCTATGGTTCTCGCGAAAAATTTAGTCTTCCAAGCTCACACGAAACACATCAAAATTGACTACCACTTTTTCAGAGATCGCATTCGTCTCCAAGACATCATCGTTCATCACATTGACACAAAAGATCAGCCCGCCAACATTCTCACCGAAGCTCTATCTCCAACTTAGTTTCACTACTTAATGCAATAAATTAGCTCTCTAGAACTTGGATCCTTAATTTGAGGGGAGCTTATAAGATATGAGTCAACAAGCAAGCCGCCTACACTAAAACTATCAACCACCAACCATGTATCCACTTCTCCAGTTCTCTAGCACGTCTCCATGTTTCCACTTCACCACTAATTCAATAAGTTAACTGCATTACATTTCCAATATAATGAGAAAATTAATACATTGAGGTTGTGCTATACAACTCATTGTACTACCTGTTTTGCACTTTCACACAATGCTTCAAACCAGCAAATATTAATGCACGCGAAAAAGAAAAAAAAGCTCTGATTACAATATAAAGCTTTGAATAGCTCTACTTGTTAACAAACCTATAAATAAGTAAGAAAAATATACGAATACCAGTTATAAGCAAGCTAGCCTATTGAGGCAAACAGAAATAAATAAACAGATAGTACTTCAACATGATTACAAAATTGACAATAAACCACTGAGCACAAGGAAACTTCAACGGCATTAAGCAAAATGGCATTACAAAGATTGCGGTGAAACTAGAACTGATGGTCATGATTCTATTAGTGAGTTCATGAGAGAAGGCACTGATTGAAGAAATGGTTAATAATACGCCCAAGAGGTTTGGGCAGATGCAATGAGAGCAAAAGCTGCACTAATAACGCAAGAAAAATTAAATTCAAAGGAACAAGAACAAAAAGGTGGACAAGGGTAACATGGTTGAAAGTTGTTAAAAAAATAACTCATGTAAGTTATATTTAATACAAGTTACACAACAGAAAACACTGCATAGGGATGAATATACAAGAAAGATTGATAAGAAAGAAATAAATAACAATTATTAAAATAGAAACATTGTAGTATTAGCATTGTTGAGTGCTGAAATTTTCGCAATTATATAGAGAGAGTATATTTTCTTAACAAAAACCTAGTAGACAAAAAGATAAGTTAAAAACAACATAGGTTTTAAAGTAGAAAAAATATGTCTGCTCAAATTGAAATGATTCCACTAGTATCTCTTATATTATAAAGTATGATCTTCCCAATAATTGAAAGAGGCATTAATACAATACACTAGACATTAGCTATGAAAGCTATATTCTGAAGTGGAAGTATAAGTCTTTAGATGCATGAATTGCCATAAAAAAATAGGTGGGTTGTTGTCTTGATTACTATCTTTATTGGACGGTGATTGGGTGATTAGGAAAATGGACATCATATGTTAGTAGTTGATAGACATCAAGTGTCAATCATCATAAAGCATTGAACAATGATAATTGGGAACATCAATGATTTGTTCGATCATTTTACTTACAAGAAGGGAGATCGATAATTAGGGAAGGTTGGTGTTGAACGTCAATGCCTAATAGACACAAAATATTGGCAGGTGTCGGATAAAAATCGATTGAAAATGTAAAAATTTAGACAATAGTCAATTGTTTGCTCGATTGTTTATGTAGTTGTTTATGTATAGGATAGGAGAATAGTGACCGAGAAGGGGGGCATCAGACATTGGTGGCAAGTAGATGTCGAACGTTAGGAGATTATCGGTGATTTGTGCAATTGTTCTCCTTATTGGAGGTGATATTATAAACTAGGAAAGAGGACATAGAACGTCGATGGTTGCCAACGTCAAACATTTGTAGGTGTAGGATTACGATCAACTAAAAATGTTGGTGTCAAGCCAAAATCAATCACATGCCCAATCATTCTCCCTATAAGGGAAAATATTGGTGAACAAGATCATGAACATTGGAAATCGATGAGTAACATATGTTGGATGTCGTTCCTTAGTGTGCGGGCAACAGTTAATGAAAAACAAGAGGTTGAATGGTCTAGTTCAATCCTTTTTCTCATAGATGGAAGATTGAACTATCAAGAAGGCTGGTGTGAAACATTAGTAATTGATTGACCTCAGATGCTAGTGAAACAAATTCTGTCTTTGGGCGACAGTAGGTGTCAACATCAGAAGGTAGTGTTGATTGAAAACAGCTGTCCAAAATTTTTCGATAACAATTGACAACATATGACAATGGGCATTAGTGGTGTTGATGGAGGGCATTGATCAAAGGTGGCAGGTGCTGATGTTCAATGGAAGAGGGTGGATGTTGAGATTTTTCGATGACAACTAGTTGATGGGGTATGGCGGTTCATGTCAATGTCGATTGATAATAGCCGTTGGGTGTTGGAAATATAAATTCGGAACTCTCAAAATCTCATAATTCTATCATTCAAAGTCCTTTGTGTGGCCTCACCTTTACGTATAGAAGCATGATCTACTCATAGATTTATAAAGTGATCATTCTGAACATTTCTATTAGGAATTAAAACACTCCATAGGATTGACGTAGAACCTCTTGATCATTTGACGTTTTTCAGACATCTTAAGGCCTTATGTAATTCAAAATTGAGAAATCTTGTTTATAAGCATGTGAAATTTGGAGGTTATTTGAACCTGCGAATGATTTTTAGAAAATTCCATCTATAGTTTTGAGTGTTTGATTTAAGCCCATTTGGATCCAAATCAAGATGCTCTTGGTATCGTGGGGCGGGTTCTTCCATGGAAACACTCATTTTTACTATATAAGTATGCTAAGAATATAGTTCAAATTGTTTGAAGTTGATTTTGGATGTTTCTAATTTGAATACTTGGATGTTTTGAGATCTGATATTTACATCAAGATTCATGTTTGGTTAGAAGAATTTTTTTGTGAAATATCAAGCATAATTCATTATTGCTAAATTTCCTAGAGATGACCATCCCAAAACTCATAAATTGCAATGCATGCGCATCCTTTTAACTCTAAAATCAAAACACTAAAATTAGCCAGCTGTTATGCATCTATGAACTTGAACAAATCAGTTATTGACACACCAAATCAAAATTTATATGTCCACTCCAACATCATGAGAAAAAGATGATAAGAGTCCCGTCATTCATAATTAGGAAGGGTAGCCCTTTGAAAATTATCCCTACAGATTAGCAGCTAAGCTGTTTTCTCTAATCAAATGCGCAATACGAAGCACGTACGAACCAGTCTAAACAATCTTTTTTGGTTCTTTTATTCTATTAGATAGAGATGTGCTTGACAAAAAGCTACTTTTCCGGATAACAGAAGGCCAGGAAAATAAAAGACATACAAAAGATACATAAAAAAATGATAAATATTGTAAAAACACTCCAGTGGAAAGCATCAAATGTTAAACCCGCATCAAGGGCATAAAAGACATGCCACGTAACGTTCAACCTATAAAAAGCCCGTTAAGTAACGGGATCCGTGATCTTAATTACCATAGCCAGGGAATTCGTCACCGCAATTATGCCCCTATAAGAAAAATCGCTCAGCCATCCAACAGCTTCACTACTTATTCTTATATGGAAATAACAGTTCCCAGAACTCACCAAATCCACAATAATTGCTTCAGCCCCACATATCTAAGAATAGATCGACATCAGCTAAAAAAAAAGTAAATCAACAATAAATAAATCAATAATAAGCCCCAAACCAAAAAAAGCATAACATGCATAACCTTCCGCGACAGACCTCGAAATCCATTGTGTAAATCCCTAAAGGAATATATCAATAGATGCAAAGTTCCTAACAGAATATCAAAAGCCGATCCAACGGAAACATCCAGATCTAATCGGAGTCGGCCGAATAACATAAAATTCATAATGGATCATTAAGGTAGTAAAAGCCCATGAAGATACAAAAACAAAACGAAACTGACCATCTCCATCCTTATCGAACAAGCTAAATGCCTCCTTGAACTCTGAGATCTGATCATCCGTCAGCTGATCGGTCATGGCTCCAGTCAGATTGCGCGGAGGGAAACTGAGATCTGCGTCGCAGAGGATCGTAGCACAGAGAGGAAAGGGAAAGAGCGCGTTAGAGTGAGAGAAGGAAATCGAGGGATCGAGTGATTTCTGCTCCACAAAAAAAACTAATCGGATTTATAGTCGAGCGAAGGTCTCTCTCCGCCCCACGGCCAATCTTGGAAAATCGTTGGCTTCGCTACCATACTCTGACCCATTCTGTTACATCAATCGTTGTTCAACGCAATTCTGGCCGTTCGATCTCAGACGCAAAGCATCTTCGTGGCCGTTAAGATTTGATCAAACGGCAGCAAAGCTGAGAGCAGTCTGACGTGGCAACAGCCGCATCAGTTGAATTATTGGGGGTCATCGGTGGTCCCCACAACATGTCGATCTCCAGCGAAGTAGGGCCAGGTGTCAGTGGGCATGCTTAGGGAACTTTGTGGCTTGCGATGTGTTTTAAGATTTGTTGATTCTATATTTTATAAATATAAATAATTGTCTGATGCGCGTTTAACATGGGTGGGGCACGTAATTTATGTTTATTTAAGGGGCAGTAAGGTCGGCAGAAATTTAAGTGTCTAAATAAATTAAATGGAAGAATTTTAACATAATTAAGGGGCTATTAGGTCGGCCGGCTTACGACGTCGAGGTAGGCAGCACCGTAACATTGAGCTCTTTGTCTTTTAGCTAAAATAACTCAAAGTTATGGCACGGTTGGGTCGAGTATTGCGACGCTCTCCACCAATATTTTCTAGTCATTATGGATATTGAGGTGTTTTTCTGAAAAATTTTTGTTGGTTATTAGATGAGTACAATATTTTATTGAACAAAAAAATAATTTTTGCACAAATAATATTGTAATGCAATTAAAATGAATAATTCCTATAATTAAAGTAGTTGAAATTCTATTTAGTAGTTAAAGTAAAGTATTAAATGAATTTCTTAAATTTGTTCATTTATACTTCTTTTATTGCAATGCGATGATATATGTGTTTATGTATTTAAACTGTGTGATTTTGTGGAGTTCTGATGTTGGAGGAAGTTCTAGTGCTAAATATACAGGGAGTCATAAGAGCTTGAATTTCTAAATATCTTATATATGAAGCATTTGAAAATCATAAGACCATGTTTTCTTATATGATTATACAGTGAATCATAAGGGCATGAATCTAATATCTGTTTCTAATGAGATGTATAAGGATCCAAGAGAAATCTATTATTTTTTGCTCTGATATATGAAATATTTATTTATTTACTTTCAGTGTGCAATCTGCTTTATTTCAATTATCTACAATTTATATTATGCTTAGTATGATAAATTTCTTATGAACTGTATTTATATTTAATTAAATGCATAATAAGTAATTTTTAAAAAATTTAGATCGATTGGTGTGACCTACTGAGATGTGTTGGGTCACACCTAGCTATTATGTATTATGTCTTAGATTCATGGAAAGGGAAAGAGTCCGTTGAATAGTCGAGTATTCAGGATCTACTTTATTCGAGTCTTAGATATATTTTATAGATATTTGTGTAGTTATGACTAGTTATTTAATTGTTCTATTTTGATCTATAAAAATGTATTGTATTGTATAAATATTATATATGTATTTTATTGATAAATATAAAGGAATTTGTGAATGAGTTTATTTTATTTTACTTAATTGGACGAGAGTTGGACCCGCGACCCCTGTTCTTATTGTATCGGTCTCGGCTATAGGAGGATCGGTTTGATAGAAGAGCTACAGAGTCCGATTGTTGTTGCGTTTCTTTTACCTGGTCTTGATGAATATTAATCTCCTCGCAGCATAAAAGCGAGTAAAGGACGTCCAAATTGATTGGATTTAGAGAGGTTCGAATGGAGGTTTTGAAGGGGTTATAGGTAGAGGGAAGTCCATTCAAGATGTATAGTATGACGTCTTCCTTATCAATCGTCGATTTGGCAGCTGCGATATTGTCGACGAGGATCTTGATTTGAGCAAGATACTATTGCATGCTGCGATCTTTCATTTGTATTTGATGTAGGTCGTTCTTGAGCTGAATGATGCGAGAACGATTTAGAAGTCGTCTTTCAAGAGTAGTCCAAACTTCATGGGAATTTTTTAGGGTGATGACATACCAAAGAATAGATGAGGAGATAGTGGAGAAAAGGAGGGAGACAAGGTTTTGATCAATAAGCTTCCAAAGATTGTGTTCAGGTATTGAAGTCTCTGGTGGGCAAGAAATTATACCCAACAGATGTTCGCTGAACCCGTTTGCAGCAAAGTGTTGATTGATTTGTAAACGCTAGATGGAGTAATTTTCACTGGTGAGAAGGATCGGCACAAGGTTTTTGAGATTTGATATTAGGAACTTGAGGTGGGAGAGAATTGTGAGTTTAGCAACTGACGCCAAAATGGCTGTGTTCGGCGGAGACGAGATCGCAGAGCTTTGATCCCCCATTCTTGATCTTCGCTGCAGAGCGTCGGCACTTTGATACCATGAGAGAAATGTAGAACGGAGAGGATCTCTCAGCCAAGCAAAGAGAGGAAGAAACAGAGAGAGAACATGAGAGAGAATAAATGCTTTTGGATTGATTTCCTTATTCAGAGTTACAGCTACAGAGTATTTATGGAAAACATAGATGCAAGAAAGACATTTCTTGCTTTGCCCGTACATAACTTGAAGAAGCTTCAAACATAATTTGAAAATAGTTTGAATAAAGTCCGAGAAGTTTCAATCAGTACTGGAAAATTGTTAAAACAACTTGTAACAAAGCTTATAAAGTTTTGATTTGTATATGTTGAAGTGTCGAGCAATGTTTAAAATCATTATTTTGTACTCCTTGTCTCTTTTGGGATTGGCTCATATTAGTTGGCTTCCTTTCTATGCATGGAGATATATGCTTAAGTCACAAATAAAATAAGGGTAGAGAAAATTAAGGCAATTTGAGGCAACTGGCATCATTGTGTTGAATATTAGAGGCAAGCAATAAGCAAAAAAAATTTTTGAATATGCAGATTTTTTGTTATAACCATATATGTAAAGATGCATTACATTGCTTCTAGTGAATAGTGAATGTGTTGATGCATTGTATTGTTATGCGTACATGGAATATGATTGTATTGGTCAATCAGATTGTTCTATTACCTCGGGCCTCAAGTTCTCGTGCTCGTTGGGCAGTGCGGCGGGTTTACCACCTGCTTGGGTTTGGGTGCTTTGCATCAGAATTTTTTTTTACGACGCCCCAGTGTTGTATACTCGAGCACCCCGATGCTATGTACCCGAGCATCCCAGCGTTGAACAACAAAGAGCAAAGCGCTGCAGTGGCATAGATACAATAGTGCAGTTGATCAAGACATAGGCTCAAACACCTTAGCACTTTAAACTTGTGTCATAGTGTTTCGAGACGGACTGTATGGTTTTCTTTCTCATTTTTTCTAAAGGGTTGCATCGCTTGGGGTTAATTACTTGGTTTTCTCTTGTATTTTGAGTGTTATACATTGGAGAACGATGCATGAGAGAAGAAAAGAAAGGAGCGAGTGAGAGAGGAGATATATGTACTTATTCCTCTGAATTTTCATAGTGAATTTTTTTATGTAGTGTGGCTCCATAGTTTTTCCCTATTTTGGGATTTTCCACGTTAAATCCTGTTTTCTTTTATTTTTCCGCTGCTTTTAGTTTCTTGCTTGTTTCTTCATTGTAGTGTTTACTCATCGTCATCCCTAACATGCATTACTTTTAGCGTATGTGCTGCTGCTTTAAATGGATATGATGCAACAAAATAATGTAAAAGTGGGTTTTATTTCTGCCAATTAATTTTTTAATTATTTTTAAATAATTTGTATTACTTATTTAATTTTCAACTTAGTGGCATGAACTCACAATTATAAATTAAAGCTGTACATGCCATCGCTTGATCGGAATAGTTTCAATCCTGATAATTTTTAGAAACATATTTTGTGAAGTGATTAAATTTATGCACTATAATAATGATAAAGATACGATCAAATTTGAGCATTTTATAGAAGCTTCCAATTGAAAGGAAGTCTACATTAGTGAGAATATCTTAATAACAACATAATATGAAGCAGCCAGCAGCAGTAGCAGGAAACTCATCATGGAAGATGCTAAGCAACCATCAACCAAAAAAAGAAAAAGGAGCATTGGCCTGCCAGCAACCAGGAATACAAAAGAAATGAAGAACCAGTCATATAGAGCATAGTAAAATATCAGAGGAGCTCCAAATACAACTATGTATCGGCTATCAAACAAAGAAGAAGAAAATCAATGGTCTGAGTCCTTCCATTTTTTGTGCGGTGCATACGAATGTATTCTCATTTTGTTCAGAATGGTTGAGGATCAAAAGAAGTGTTGCCGGAATTTCGAATCATTCTGGCTTCATTTGGGATGATTTTCTTATTGCTTCTTAAAGCAACTTTCTAATATAAAAAATTAAATTTTTTGACTAAAAAAATGTTTTAAGAAGTAATAAGAAAGTCATCCAAAATGAAACCTCTATCAGCAAATGGAAAGAGGGATGAATAATTGGCAATCTTCTTCCAGGAAAGAATCCTCGATATGATCCAATTTGAGAGTTATTGGGCTTTGGATCTTTTCCAGAGAAATAAGGTTGAAGACAGGGATCATTTATTATTCACCATCCCTCCTCCCCAGTTGAAATTATTTGTATGCTTACTAGACTAATTGATCAACTAATTACAAAATTGGTTTAAGGCTAATGGCTCTTACTAATTAATCATAGTTATAGACTAAATTAATGAAAATTAGATTCAAATCATTTGTCCCTCTCTCATAACGAACTTATCCTCAAATTTGCACTTCTTTAGTCAATCCCGTCAAGACTACAACCAACCTTTTAGCAAAAAAAGAATATTGACTATGGTACGTAGCTCTCATCATTGATCTGTTGGTTGGGAGTTTTGGCTATCAATCAAGAGGTCATGAATTTGAAGCTTACATTTCTGACTACTCAGCCACCCCTAAAAGAAAGAAAATAAGAAATAACTTAAAGATAGGGAACATTTATTATTCAACATCCCTCCTCCCCAATTGAAATTATTTGTGTGCTTAGTAGACTAATTGATCAACTAATTACAACATGGTTTAAAGCTAATTGCTCTTACTAATTAATCA